GGTCTTGAGCCCCCTTATTGCCATATGGCACTTGCAGATTGACCCAGAGCTCGACTCCTGGCCCTCCTTCCTCGGCGGAGAGGTCGCACCCTGACGATAGAACGAAAAACCCTTCACATGGGCGCTCACCCTTGGGGCCCCCGGTCTCTTGCAGACCGACCAAATGCGCGCCGATCTCTTGCAATTGGCATCGTGCTAGATCCGACCTGAGCCTACGTTTCTCGCCCATGGTCCCATCGGTGTCCCTCTGGGTGATGGACTGACTTTACATTATGTTGATCAGCCCTGAGGGCAATGGAAGACTTGGAAGCCTTAGTGGTCACAACAGTGGAGTGAGGGTCCTGAATGTGGGCGAGCGAGGCCCCCGGTTGAAAGCTCTGCCAAAACAGACCTTTGCCCCAAACAGGATAAGCAGCCAGCGTTTCTGGCGGGCCCCCCATGAAGCCATTCCCACTCTCTCCATCTGTAATACTGGGTGATGGCAACCAATCCATATGGGAAAACAGTGGGGGCGGTTTTCTCGTACTCGGTCCACACGGCCACGCGATCTGCAACATCATTCCAAGCGTGATCATCGTGGCCTTTGTCGTGAAAGAGCCCCAGTTATCTTCGCCTGGTTGCCACCTCCCAAACGACGGGGACGATTAGAGCCAGAGGACCAAAGCAGGTGGGTCGTAGTCCGTTGATGGCGGTGACAACGTTCAGCGAGTCCGCGTGGACGCTGGCGCCCCTGACGCTGGAGTCGGAGATGGTGGCCAGTAAGGCCCACCGCCCGCCTGCGTACTTGGCGTCGGTGCTGGTAGCGCGGCCACGCCGTAGCTCAATCCTGCAGGCATCGGGAACCCACCCGACACATGGCCTTGCCAGGAGAAGCCGCGATGGTCTCCAGTAATCTGCACTAACCCCCAAGTCGCAGCGCAGAGTTTCTGGCCTTTGACAGAGCCGTCGGAATAGTAGTGTTTAGCAAGCCATGTGGATTCACAACGCGGGCATGATTGGAGAGCAAGACGAACGCGGGCAAGGAGCTGACATCGCTTAGATCATATTTCCATTCAAAGACTCCGTGCTCCAGAACAGTAGTCATCACGTCCGGCAATGAATCCATGCGACAGCTGATCGGAGACGCGGGGGCGCGCACTGGCGCTGGGAGGCGATCGCAGCCAGCAGCGAGGCAGGAAGGAGTTGGACTATAGGATCAACGTGCGTCGCCCCAGCTGACGCGTTGAGAAGGGGGGGGGGGGGGGGGGGGGGGGGGGGGGGGTGGGGGGGGGGGGGGGGGTCAGAGGGGGGGGGGAAACGCGCCCCCCCCCCAAAACGGGGTCGATAAACAAAGGGGGGTATGCAGCACAATCGCATCATACTGTAGCGATCTGCGTAGCAAAAAAATAATTCTCGATTGCAGAACCCTGGAAAACGCCACCGGGGCCTGCAACCCGAAAAGAGACCCCCATGCCGAAGTCCGGTCCGGCTTCAACAAGCTTGCACGTGCGATGTCCCGCCCTGCTTCTCGACGCTCACAGAGAAGCCGCATCTCGAAGCAAAATGCGCATGGATCGCGCTCCTCCCACGGCGTGCCGACGCCAGAAAGCTCGACCAGCAGCCTTAACATCAGATCGCCGCTGCCCCCGGCATTGCCTCCAGTGCTGTCGACGCGAAGACAGCGCGCAGCGGGGGGAGGGCGCGGCCCCTGGGCCCCCGAGCGCACCGGGAGCATTGGCCAGGAGCAGCGAGTCACTGTCTGTCCCTCGTCGCAAGGAAAAGGCCGCGATGGCGGCCGGAAAGCACAGATAAGACGGAGTGCGATCAGCATCGCTGCCGCAAGATCCCCCCCACCCCCCCCGGTAGCCGTGAACCCCATCGCCCATCGACATCCTCGTTTAGCCAGCGGCGGGGGGCGATGCGCCACAACGATGCGAGCGCAAGCAATGTGCGAGCGGCGACTGGCCCCGAGCGACTGCGCCCGACAGACAAGTCGGTTAAAAACCCAAGCCCGAGCGTTTTTCCATGCCTTGGAAGCTGAACGGGCATCCTGGGACATCTCAGTTCCGTCGAGCTCGGGCTCTGGAAAGTTGGCGCCTGCGCGGTTACCCGACGGGGCGGCAACGGCCCCTTCCTGAACAAGAAAACTGCGGTCTCCCTCCGCGGGGGCATCAAGATATTGCTCGCCAGCAATTGGCGCAGAGACAGTGCCTGGCAGGTCAGCAGATTGAATTGCACGGGAGGTTTTGAGGGTGGACTTAGGAGGACCTCGATAAGGAGAGAGGCCTGGAGGTGGAGGGAATTATCGTATTCCATCCACACTGAAAAAAGAGAAGTTGCTGGCTGCCCCAATGCACTCTTGGACATCGCGCCGCTCGCCCACCCTCGGCTCTTTGCGAAGGGGGCTTGCTGCATCTGCGTCCTTGTCCGCGCATGCCTCGTCGATCTCCTCGACCCTGGCCCTCGCCTGGGAGGCCGTTAGGGGGCTCTCGGAGACTGGGGCGCTCGCCGAGCCCAAGGCCGAGCTCGCGGCGGTGCCCGTCACTGACTTCTTGAGGGCCTCTATGCAGGGTTCTTCGGGCGGCTCCATCGCGGGCTGGGTTGGCGAGAGCACCTCTGCATATGGTACCTGAGCGGCCCCAGATGACAACTGTAACACTCTTGGCCTCTGGTGGTCCAGTCGGAGTAGCTGGATCTCCTGCTGCAGCTGCAACCGGTGCGGGTGCAACTGGCGTTGGAGCCACAAGCGTCGGGCGCTGGAAGATCGGGCCGGCCTGCCCAGGCGGCGCTGTTGATCGTGACAAGCCGCGCGCCTCGGCTGGAGGCGTCTGGAGCATGGCCGAAAGGGGGGCCCTGAACCACTGGGCGCCCCCTATCCTCAGCGCCCAGTTGGAGAAAATTCCCGCGCTTCCCACGCCGCCAGATCCGATCGTGAATGCTTGCCCGCGGTTCGCACTCGCACTCGCACCCGCTGTGGCTGCCGTGCCTGAGTTGAATCCACCGTTGCCCGCCGTAGCTGTCATAACTGAATGACTCAGGACCATGACATACTGTCCCGGGCTGTTGATCACATTGTCGGTCTCCTGCTGTTTGTTCATCATGCCACGCATGGGCTGCATGAGACTGCCGAGCTGGTCGGCAGGCACTTCTCCCTGCAGTGGGCGGGGAGGCTGAAACCCTGGTTGCAACGGGCCACGGGGAGCGGCCGCGGCAGCCGCCGCCGCGCCAGCCTCCCTCGCGCCGAGAAACTTGGATGCCCTCTCTCGCTCAGCGGTGAACCTGGCCTCCTCGCTGTTGATTGGCATCATGTGAGGCTCTGCCGTTGGATGAGCACCTGCTGGATGCTTGCGATCGTCGCTTCTGGGGGTGTGGATGGTGTGCGTGGTGGGCCCTCCACTGGGCCCGCCACCTGAGCCAGCAGCAGCAATGCCGCCAGCTCCACCACCCATGCCCCCGTTGTCGACATTAATGTCCATGTCGTCATCGGTGTCTTCATGCTCTAGCTCGACTATGGCCTGGCGAACCTATTCCACCTCTCTATCAACTTGCACGAGCTCCTCTTGCACGGGCCAAATCTTCTCATGTAGACTTTTCGCCCTCGCTCAACTGCTTGGTATTCGGCTCCACGTTGGCTAACATATATTTGAGAACTGCGATCTCAAAGTCCGCTTCAGCAGCGCATTTGCCTAGATTCTTCGTTGCCAAGGCTTGCTTGCCCAAGTCATACCGTCGGTTGCGAATCCTCTTTCTGTACGCCCTGACATCTGGAATGTTCGATGGGTGGAAAACCTCATGCGACAACGTGGGGCGCATCTCGGTGTCAGCCCGCGTGGCGACTATGATTTTGCTGTTGTACTGACTGGTCCGATCCATTTCTTTGTTCTTCGGGTCGTTCCTCGGCCTGCTGGGCGCACAGTCGGATGCTGGGCGGCGCCCAACCTGACCGTTGGCGTCTCGCCCCAGTGCACACTCTGCCGAGGCTGCCCTTGCTCGTTTCAGCCAAACGATTGTCCGCACAGGCACCCTCACTGGTGACCTTTGACGTACCTGCCGCACTGCCCGCAATCCAACTGCACGCCTGGACCCGTTGCCCTGAAGGTGTTGTTGCCTCCGAACACTGTGCTGTGGTGATATCGTAACAGCTGCTTGCTCTGGGTGGCTCTCTCAACAGCACTCTCGCGTGACATCGTCTTAGACGGGCACGTCGATGCCACGATTCCCCTTTACTAGGAATGGTGACGAGGCTGTGACGCGGCAGTGTACACACGTGAAGGCTAAGATGGAAGACTGGAAGACTGCCCGTTTAAGGCTAGAGTGGATGGTCTCGGAGAAAAGACTCTCTGGCTTGTCCAGATGCCAAAATGGTTCCGGGCCAGACGCCTTCTCCTCCTCCCACTCCTCCTCATCCTCCTCCTCTCTCCTCCTCCTCTTCTCGTCCTCGTCCTCGTCCTCCTCCTCCTCCTCCTTCTCCTCCTCCTCCTCCTCCTCCTCCTCCTACCTCCTACCCCTCCTCTCTTCTCTCCTCTCTCCTACTCTGTCCTCTGTCCTCTGTCCTCTCTCTCTCCTCTCTCCTCTCTGTCTCTCTGCTCTGTCCTCTGTCCTCTGTCCTCTGTCCTCTCTCTCTCCTCTGTCCTCTGTCCTCTCCTCTCCTCTCTCTCTCCTCTCTCTCTCCTCTCTCTCTCTCCTCTCTCCTCTCTCCTCTCTCCTCTCCTCCTCTCCTCCTCCTCCTCCTCCTCCTCCTCCTCCTCCTCCTCCTCCTCCTCCTCCTCCTCCTCCTCCTCCTCCTCCTCCTCCTCCTCCTCCTCCTCCTCCTCTCTCCTCCTCCTCCTCCTCCTCCTCCTCCTCCTCCTCCTCCTCCTCCTCCTCCTCCTCCTCCTCCTCCTCCTCCTCCTCCTCCTCCTCCTCCTCCTCCTCCCTCCTCCTGTCTCCTCCTCCTGTCTCCTCCTCCTCCTCTTCCTCCTCCTTTGCCTCTGGCTCCATCCTCTCTCCTCCTCCAGCTGTTTCCATTCCCCTCCATGGGCCTCCCGCGGCGCGCCGCCAGCGCCCAAATGGGCGCTGCCACCCGCGAGCGCCCGCGACCTCGGCTGGGGAAGGGAGGAGGAGGAGGAGGAGTAGGAGGAGGAGGAGGAGGAGGAGGAGGAGGAGGAGGAGGAGGAGGAGGAGGGGGAGGAGGAGGAAGAGGAGGAGGAAGAGGAGGAGGAGGAGGAGGAGGGGGGGGGAGGAGGAGGAGGAGAATTCGGGAGAATGTTGCGACGACGAAGTCGATTTTCGCCCAAGAGACGACCGCCGCCTCGGGACCCGAAGCGAGGGGCCCTGGCGCGGCGGGGCCAAAAACTCGAGGCCCCAGGGAAAGAGAGAGACCCTGGGAGCCGAGGGCAGTAATGTGGGAGGTCTTTGCCTTTGGAAAAGGCGCGACATAACAGACTTCCCATGCTTAGTGGGCGGGCCAGAAGGGTTGAGGAGCCCTTTCGCACTCCCCCCGTCTGTGGCTTTAGCTCTACGGCCACATACCGTGCACCACCATGTGGAACAGTGCTCAGCAGATTCCATGGAGTGAGAAGGGTGCACAGCTCTATTACCTATCTGGATCACATGGGGGCCCCTGGCCCCTCGGACCGTTTGGGCCAAAGGGGCCTTAGGCTTACAGATACTGAGCCACCGTTTGATGGCCAGGGACCCCGCATGCTTGCTGATCGCCTCGTTGCACAGCCTACATTGCCATCTACTGTTGAAGGTGCCGAGGGAATGGGGAGAGGAAAACAGGGCCTGGCTCAACTCACTCACTCTCCGCCTGTTCCTCTCTTTGGTCTCCTTCCCTTCGGGCATCTGGGACGACGGGTCTCGAGCGATAGCATCTGTATGGGTTCGGGGAAGGCGTTTCCATACGAGGGCCGCAGTCCCTCCGGCCCACTCATGCATGCGCATCTGCTGGCGCGGGATGCCATGGAGCTCCGCGCCCCGATCAGCAAGGGCGCCGGCCACGGCGTTGCCGAACCAGGCCTCCTCGTTCCAGTGGAAGCCCTCGTCTCCCCCTCGTCCGTGTGGCTGGGAACGTGGTGGAGCTCGACGATCGAAGCTGAGAGGGAAAAGGAGGAGGAGGAAAAGGAGGAGGAGGAGGAGGAGGAAGAGGATGAGGAGGAGGAGGAGCAACGCTCGGTGCATGAGGTCCCAGATGTCGCGATTGGCGCGCTGCTGCCCGAGCCTGGCGTAGCGCGATCGCTGCTGGCCTCTGATGGCCACGTCCGAGTCCGTCCATACTCGCACTCGTCCAGTGGTATTTCGCAGTGCTTGGACGCTTGCCCACAGCTCTGCGCGGCTGTTGGTCTGAGGAGGAGGAGGAGGAGGAGGAGGAGGAGGAGGAGGAGGAGGAGGAGGAGGAGGGGGAGGGGGATCGCACGCCACTGAGGGGAAAGGGGAGGAGAGAGTCTGACGGTCCAAAAACCCAGGGTGGCCCATCAGAGGGGAACTTTTTGTCACCCTGGCAGGAAGGCTAAAGACCTGCCAGGGGCCAACGACAGGGCCCCCCCTGGGTATCTAACCGCCCAGTTCTTCTTCCTCCAAATCATTGTCTGGGCCTCGTTCACGTAGCCTCAGTCCCAACTCAGCGGCTTCGAACTCATTAAGTCCGAACGCTGGCTGGACATCAGCCAGGCACAAAACCGCACGTGCAGGATGGTCCGAAGTGGTTCTGGCCACACCTCCAGCTCCCATCTGGGCCTTCTTGGACTCCGAGACCCCCCCCCCACACCAGCTCTCGCGCCCGAGCCCCAGGAGTTCGCCAAGAGCCCAGTTTGAGAGGCCTGTTGGGGTGCTTGCCCTTGCAGACTGCCCGAGAGTTCTTCCTGCCTGGGTCCACCGAGGCCTACTGGGACCCTCCACAGCCCTTACGCAGGCCTCTGGATCCCGCAGACACCGTGGCACACCCCCCGCAAGTCGAACAAAAAAGGATGGGGGGCTGGATATCTTCAACCGCGAACTGCAGCAAAACATGCCCTCCGATGAAGGCAGGGGTCTGGCGGGCATCCTCTGCCATCGCCAGCAGCTCGGGCACCAGGGGCTCCGATGGAGGTCTCGAGGACTGTGGAGGAGCGTCGGGGGGGGGGGCAGGAGCAGCAGCACCCTCGGCGCCTCCCTCCTCCTGCCTCCTCACCGCCTCACGGGCCTCCTCAAAGTCGGACCCCCCCTCCAGGGAGATCTCTGTGAGCCCCTGGGCTCCGACATTGTCCCACCTGCCTTCCTGCGCATATTGGCCTTCAGCCCTACTAATGAGCTGAAGGAGCAGGCGTGCGACATGGAGCATGCCTTTGGACATCATGGCAACATTGGGCGGGCAACGACATAGCTCCGCACCCAAATTAGCAAGTCGATCAGCTACGGCCTTGCCCTCCCTCTCCAAGTGGCAGATACGCCCTTCGCGCACATCGGTCATCGACGTGTGGGCCGCCACCTTACAGAAACTCACCAGATCGGGCGTTCCTTCATGGAGTGCCTCTTTCCAGATGTGTGCCCGAGTGTTGCCATCTCTCTGCGCATATGCGGCATGCTGACAGCATTTAACTGTGCCTTTGCAATCGGAATAAGTCGTGTACTTGCCTACTAGATGTCTCAAGGCCATCAGGATGGCGTAATCCCCCCCGTCTCTGGCTACCTGGTCGGGGCCTTGATGCGGGGGGACCGCCCCATGCCACCCCGCCAGGGGTCGGCGATCATTGCCGAAAACCGCCACACCCCAACCAGCACCCCTGAAGGACGGGAAGGGACCATCGGCCCCAGAGCCATCGCAAAAACCATGGCCACCATCGAGCGCCAGAGGCGCCACTTGCCCTTCAACCTTGAACTCCCAATCACGCAAAATGCGATCAAGTGCCGCCTGCCCTAAAAGCGGCCTGGGACCTCCTACTTGCTCAGTGAAATCCTCATCAAGGACTGGGAAAGGAGGCTGAGCGGGGCCTTTCGAGTACTTGCGAGCCGCCCGACCTCCACGATTTCGGCCTTCCGCTGTCTCCTGCTGCACTCTACTGTCAACCACGCGCTGAATGGCCTTCACTAAGTCCGCGCGACTGGGACCCTCTGGGCCCTGAAAAGTTCAGCCACCGTCAGTCGCGCGAGCCGAGGTTCCCCAACCTCCTCCAGCAGGTCCTGCAGCGGCCTGGCCGAATCTAACAGGCGCCGCCGTCGGCCGTCTGTCGCCGCCTTCATATACTGCAAGGTCAAACGCCTCAAAGACAACCAGCGTTGGGTCCCAGGAAGGGGGCGCCTGTGCAGCTCCTGACTCCACGCTGCTTCTAGCGGCACTAACTGAACCTGGCAACCCTTGGCTCGGCCAAACAACTTCGCGCCATCTAGCCCATGAAGGCGGCCAAGAGCCGACGCCGCAGCGTCGAACCACTGCTCCATCGCTGCGTGGGGCGAGAGCGAAGCCCAATCAAATAGGGGCGGCTGCTGGCTGGGGCCCCACTGCATGCGGGCCTTCTCCTCTTCGTCCTTGGGCAGCGGGAAACTGCGAGGCACCGCGCGCTGCCAAACTTTGGCCTGCCCAGCCACCTGCTTGAGTTGAAGCACAACTGCAGAATGCGGCCCAACTGGCGCGTCAGGCTGCTCAATGCACTCCTTAACAAGATATTCTAGACAGCGGCTGACAACACTAAAGTCGTACCAGTTACTGTGGCACGTCGCTCCTGGGGGCCTGCCCACTGTCGCCCCAAGGTGATCTGCCCACTGGGATGCAACCAGCTGCTCCGCATCAATGTCCCCGTCTCCTCCTAGAACAAACGGGCAGCCCGCCGAGGCCACCGCTTCACTGAGCTCCTCTAAAAACGTGATGTTGGCGCCTGAGAGCCCAGGCGTGGCGCGGCCGTACTCTGAGACAAAAAAAAACGGGAAGGAATGGTGCACCATGACCTTGACCATGCATAGCCTCTCAGACCAGCAGCTCTGCCCGTGGCCGTTGCTGCCAAAATGTGCCTTACATGGGATGGCCGTCCCTCCAAACGTCTCTCGGCGCCCTGATCCCGTTCGCGCCGCCTCCGCGAACCATGACATGTATCCAGCTTTGCGCCGCCAACTGCGAGCCGCTTTGATATGTTCCAGTTCCAGCCTGTGTTCCTGAAAATATCAGGCATCGTACACCATATCTTTCTCGTTCCGAGCCCATTCCATGTGACTCTGAGCCGTGAACCACGAATTGATGTTGTAGCTGACCAGCTGGAAACCCCTGAAATGTGGGTGGAGGGCCGCTCCGAGCGGGCTCCGCAGGGGCCACCAGCCCCGAACCGCCAGCGCGCCGCCGCCTCCACTGCTGCGAGGGGGCAAGGCCGCTCCTCGCTGGGGCGCCGACCGCCTGCACGTCTGCAACCCAGGGTGGAGGCTGAGTCTGATCGAAAGCATCGACCACCCGCTCGTCTGCGGCTCCGACCCAAGACCCGCTGCCTGTCTATAGGGCCTGCCCTACAACGCCCCCCCCCCCCCCCCCCCCCCCCAGGGGCCGTCAGCCCCGAAAAACCAGCGCGCCACCGCCTCGCATGCGGCGTGGGGGCAAGGCCGCTCCAACTTGGGGCATCGACCACCTGCGCGTCTGCAGCCCAAGGTGGAGGCTGGATCCGATCGAAGGCATCGACCGCCCGCGCGTCTGCGGCATCGATCAAAGACCCGCTGCCTGCCTCCAGGGTCTGCCCTCCCACGGGCTCCCCAGGGGCCGCCAGCCCAGGAAAAAAACACAGTGCGCCACCGCCTCGCATGCGGTGAGGGGGCCAGGCCGCTCCAGCTTGGGGCTTCGACCACCTGCAAGTCTGCAGCCCAAGGTGGAGGCTGGATCCGATCGAAGGCATCGACCACCCGCGCGTCTGCGGCCTCGATCCAGGACCCGCTGCCTGCCGTTAGGGTGTGCCCTTCCACGGGCTCCCCAGGGACCGCCAGCCCAGAAAAATCCGCGCGCCACCTGCCTGACAGCTGATGAGCCCTAAAGGCCCGACCCACTGCCCTCGGCCAGCTTGGCTCTGGCCGCGTCGGCGGCAGCTTGCAGCACCTGGGTGCTGGGAGCGTCGGCTCCCCCCTGTGGGCGCCGTGGCCGCCGACCCAGGCACTGCGTGCTCAGCACCAGAAGCGGCAGCGCCAACCGCAGGAGGAGCCCCAGGCGCCGCTGCGGGTGGCGTTCCAGGCTGGGCGGCGGCGGCGGCACTGGTGTCATCGCCACGGTCGGACTGGCGGGCGCGCTTGGCCGACACGCGTTTCCGCATGTCCCTGGCTTCCGCTCTGGGCCGCTGAATGTTGTCTGCGCTGGGCCCGGTGGTAGCCACAATTGCCTTCTGGATCTCAGCCGCCATGTTGCTTTTGAGGGCAAACCACCGCTGCTTGTCCTCGTCTTCAGTCTCGAGCTCACTGAGGTCGAGAGCCTCGCCGTCCACGATCTCCACGCCTTCGAAGCCACTCTCCTCCCCCAGCAGCTGCGACAAGTTGATCTGGGAGCCCGTCGGCACATGCACCGCGTCGGGCGGAGGCCCCGCACCAGGCGTCGAGCCGCGGGCCTTCTGCAGCTCGGCCTTGAGCTCCTCTTGCCAGGCAGTCTTGGCCTGCACCGCCCATACTGCCGCCTCCTGGGCCCCCTGGCTGCACTCCGCCAGCCAGCGCCGCGCCTCATCCTCCTGGCGGACCGCGTGCTCCAAGGCCTTCTCCGCCCTCCTGCACGCCACTCTCTTCGCACTGATGGTTTCCTCCAACAGCGGCTGGCGAGCTGGCTGCGCAGGCGCGGGCGGAGCCACCACTCTGACCAAGGCCTGCAGCTCCTGCGCTCCTGCGTCCGCCTTGACATGCTGCTGGAGCTGCGTGAGGAGCTCAGCCACTGTCGGTTGCGGGGCCGCCCCACGCTGTGGTGGCGTCGAGACCTTCGGTGCCTCCAGGCGGCTGGGTGCCCAGGTCCCTGGCGGGTGCGCGGGCCCTTGTTGGCCACCACCCTCACCTCCAGGCGACCAAACTCCTTTGGCCTGGCGCCACGGCGGCGGCGGCGAGGGGACCAGCGCATTGCCACAGGAGAAGCAATGTTCTCGCGACTTCCAGTTCCAGCGGTATCGGCAGCTTGAGCAAGAAAGGTAGCCCTTGGCGGCATCCTTGCCCATGGGCTCCTCCAGGAGCTCACCAAAAACGGAAGGATGTTGTGCCAGTGAGGCACCAGGTACAATCGCGGAGTGGCCGTGAGGCCGCGTGTGAAAACAGCCTGGACGAAGGCCCAAGGATCGCAGGTGGGGGCGCACCTCCCCCTTGCCACACCTCAAGTCGCTGAGCCTCCCGCTACGGACTTGAGCCAAAATGGCTACGGAGGGGGAGGGGGAGGAGGAGGAGGAGGGGGAGGAGGAGGAGGAGGAGGAGGAGGAGGAGGAGGAGGAGGAGGAGGAGGGACGAGGAGTAACGGGGTATATGGCGACCCGTATCCTAGGCTTCGTGGGGCTTTCGAATGGGTCAGAGTTTTGGGGCCCAACCCTCGGATATACCATGGGAGGCGTCCATCCTCGATAGGGGTGCGTCCGAACAGCCCCAATGGAATGTATATCAGAGTTCCTCTCCTTTTCTGAGCGGTTTCATTTTCGTCGAGAAGTCGGGGGGGGGGAATTGCCTGCGATGGACAACCACGACAGACAAACAATGCTCCCGACTGGCATGCAAGACTGGCAGCCTCGACTGACGCCTTCCACCCAGGTGGAGCTGCTCAGCAAGAATCGGCCGTCCTAATGTATAGCGAATCAACCATAAACGGTGCTGGGTAAGTTTAGTAGGTATGTGGCGGCTGGCCAAAGAACATGGCCACGGATAAAGAGCACCTCGCCAAAGAGCGCAGAGAGCCCTTGTTGCTGACGACGTCCCTGCGTGGAATGGGTCATGCGTCAAGTGGAGGTCTTCTGTCTCAAAGCTGTAAGCACCCAGACCCGCTCTGGCTGCAATCTGTCCAATTCAAGATGAGAGAGCTCGCCGAAGCTGCCAGAGACAAGCAACAGACTGCGTCATGTGTTGAGGATCCACGACAGGCCGCAGCTCTGAAAAAGTGGCGCCCCTACCTCAGCGCATGTTACCGTCGGAGACGAGGCAGCTCCTTAAAGGTAGAGGGAACAGAACTATGCACGTACACCAATTCTGGCCAGGCCCAGCCCGGGCCAAGGATCGGTGCATACGCTCTCCTGCCATGACCAGGACAGCATATGCACCGATCCTGTGGCCAAGATGGGCCTGGCCAACATCGGTGCATGTGCATAGTTCTCTTTGCCCGAAAAGGTGAGCTCCCGGGGTCTCGAGGCCAGATACCAAGTCTTCTCGAAGCCAGCACCATGGAGGCTCTTGGGGACCAGCGTCCTTGCCGAATCCACTAATTAAGATGAGCCCAAGGCCAAAGAGAGAGGGCCAAATGAGACCCTCCCGAGCAGCTCGACCAAAATTGACGTGATCGCGATTCCTTCAGATGAGCTCCGGACAATCCCAAACACACAAACGGTGACAGGAAGTCCCAGACTGCTGTGTAAACACCACTGGCATGGGTGACGATCGTTTGGGACTCAACCTCCTAGCGCATTCATGAGCCGACGCTTAGACAATCCGAGACATAGGAAATCTGTTTTTATCTTTTTTAGAGTGATGGCATCGGCTGCGGCTGGGCCGGTGGCAATCATCCAAGCTTGACGCGTGAGCTTGGGAGCGTAGTCAAAGGTGCATTCAACTGGGTCAATGATGCCGAAGCAGGATCGAACACTGATCGCTGCGACATTGGCAGTTGCAGCGTAGTGGCCTGACAGGCGGACTCGATGTTTCTCCACTGCAGCCGCTAGAAACTGCAAACTGCGGCATCGGCCATTAGCAAGCCAAACGAATTGCACCAGAGAACAAACCCAATCAGTGGATTGCTATAAGCTTGGTGTTGTGGATATTGAGATCGATTGTGAGATCGATTGTTGTATCGATAGCAAGGACGATCGTATGGTTGATCGTGAGACCAGAAATTAGTGAAATCGATTCAGTGAGGTCGATGGGGAGATCGCTCGTGTGATCTACAATGAAATCGATTGTGAGATCGATAATGAGATCGACTCTGATATCGAAAATGAGATCAATAGAGAGGTCGGTAACGAGATCGATGGTGGAACCCATCGATAAGGAGATCGCCCAGGAACCCGGGAACCCGTAAACCCCACCGCCCGCTGATATCGGTCCAGAACCAGCAACCAGGAACAAGGGAACCCGGAACAGGGGACCCGGGAACCTGGTCGCCTTCCGAAATCGGCGCGGCACTTTCGTCAAATATTTCAACCTCTGCGAGGGCCACTTCAATGGAGGCACTGATTGGGGAACAGCTGCACCACTCGCCTCCCGCTGCTGCTCAAGCTACGCACTGGACAAACCCAATTCGATGGACCGATTTTCCACCACCACTACCACAGGTAGGATAGGGATGAGGGGGAGGAGGATGAGAAAGAGGAGGAGGAAGAGGAGGGAGACCTCCCCATCCTCCCCCCCGTCCTATCTATGGGAGCGGTGGTGGAAAATCGGCCCTTCAAATTTACCACCGGCACTAGAAGAATAACAACATGCATAGAAACATAAAAGCGCGTTTCTTTATCATCGGCAATGACGGGCGTCATGGGGGGGGGGCGGGAGGGGGCGGGGGGGGGGTATGACGTAACGACCCCACCCCACGCCGTGAGGCTCTGGCACCACAGCCGCGCCCGCGCGCACGACGAAGATGAGCGACGAGCGACGAGCGACGAGGACGACGACGCGAGCAGTATGCAGGTGGCGATCTGCCCCACAGCGCCTGTGTACACCACAGTGCGCGCGTGCATCACAACGCTTGTGTACACCACAGCGCCTGCGTACACCGCATCAGCCGTGTGCAACGCAGCGCCTGTGTACACCACAATACTTGCGTACACCACAGCGCCGGTGTACACCACAGCGAATGTGTACTTGCAGCAGCCATGTGCAACACAGCGCCTGTCTACACCACAGTACTTGCGTGCACCGCAGTGCCTGTGCACACTACAACGCCTGCCTACACCACAGCATCCGCGTGCAACGCAGCGCTGGTGTACACCAGAGCGCCTGCGTGCACAAGACAGGTAGAAGGAACATGTCGGTGAGGATCTGGTGCGGACAGCTGATAATATAATGCGACGTTTTTCCCTCCTCCCTCCTCCACCTCCGCCTCCTCCTCCTCCTCCTCTTCCTCCTCTTCGTTCTCCTCCTCCTCCTCGTCCTCCTCCTCCCTCACCCTTCCCACCTGTCGTGTGGGTCGGCACTACAGCGCACGTGCGCGTCTCAGCGTGCACCGCAGAATGGTATATTCACTGGCGCCGTGCTACGCAAGCATTGTGGTGCTGTGATGCACGCGGCTGCTGTGGTGTACATAGGAGGTGCGGTGTGCACAAGCGCTGCGGTGCACGCAGGCACTATGGTGTACACAGGCGTTGTTGTGCAGCTCGCCACCGACATGCTGCTGCCACCCGTCCTCGGTGATTGTGGTGTACGCCGCCGGCGCGAAACATGACGTCATCGGTCTCCTCCCTCCCCAGATGATTGCCGTCATCGGCCCTGATTTTTTGTTGAAAATATTATTTTTCGTCCGCGTGCACGGCGATGATGAGCGACGAGCGACGAACGACAACGACAACGACAACGACAACGACAACGACGACGACGACGACGACGACGACGACGACGACGACGACGACAACGACGACTGCGGACCAGACTCCTATGCGGATTCCTATGCGGACACCTATGCGGATCACGATGCGCACGGCGGCAGTCCCTGGAACTCACTGGGGGGGGGGGAGCGTTACGTCATCAGGGGGGGGAGGGGGGCCGGGGACCATGACGCCCGTCAAGCCCCAAGCATTAAACAAACGGGCTCTAATTTCTCAGAGGTCCGCACGGAACCCTTGGATTGGAGCGGGAACCCACTGGCGCGCGGAGCGCGTCAGCGCCTCCAGGGGGGGGGGCCAGCGCCGATCCAAGAAATCCACGCGGAGCTCCAATTGGTTTATTATGTGTATACGTTTTTACTTATCTTTGAAATGAGCCCACCTACCACCGACACTCCATACGGTGCTGCTTGTGTCGGGCCCCTCGATGAAGCGGACTCAAACGGTTCGGAAAGTCCTGGCCGTCCCCATGCGTTGGCTGGCCGCTGTTTCGTCACCGCTCTACCACTTGCCATCGCTCCCACGTCCATTCTCCGAGCATTGTTCGGTGTCGCGCATTGCTTCGCAAGGTGATCCAAGATGCTCCTCCTTAGGTCCTCGCGAGCACGTCCGAGCGATGCCAAGACCACGCCGTCGGCCTAGTTCAGAATCAAAAAGGCCGAACGGACTCACACCGTCCCTGGCTGCGCGCCTGCTTCAGAACCTGCAGATTTTTTGCGGTATTAAACGCCAAACTGCCGTCGACATCGCCCGCGACCCACCCTTCAGAAACCCACGACACACCCGCGACTCACCCGCGACGCTCCAGCGACACACCCGCATACCTCTGACACGAGAACTCGGCGCCCGCGGCGTGCGCGCTGTCAAGGTGTCACAGAGAATGGGCGCCTGCGACGGGCTGCTTGCTACAAAGTTGCCCTCGAGCCTCGCGAACTGCAGACAACCCCCAAGCCCCCTCAGTGTTACCCGCAGCTGCGGAGGCTACAGTGTACGCCCTCGCCTGGTAATGTGTTTGAGCTCGACGTCCTCCTGCCCCGTCGCTAACAGCTCCGTCCTTGTGCTCCTCGTCCTCGCCGTCGTCCTCCTCTTCCCCTCGCTGTTCCTTCTCCTCCTCCCCATCCCTCTCCTCCTCCCCATCCCCCCCCTTCCTTCCCATCATCCTCTTCTCCTCCTCCTCCTCCTCCCTCCTCTTCTCCTCCTCCTCTCCCTCATCTCTTCTTCCCCCTCTTCTCCTCCTCATCCTCCTCTCCTCCTCCTCCTCCCCCCCCTTCCTTCCATCCCCCCCCCCGCGTCACCTCCGCCACCAACCTCCCTCGATGCGAAGCCGCTGGGCGCCCTCGCACGGCGCTCCTCCGCCCGGAGGTCTTCTGGGCGTTGGCGCTGGAGGAGGCAGACCTCCGGGGCTCCGCGGGCAAGAGTCAGGGGGACGTAAGACCTGGGTACAGGGGACTCGGAAATCCCCGACGGGGTCGTCAAAAAAATGACGAGGCCGAGCCTGCATTTTGACGAGGCCTCCCGCTGCAGACATCCCACGAAACTCCTCCTCGTCAAAATCCGAGGCGCGGTCGTCAAAAAACGGTGGCGAACCCGAGTCCCGGCAAACCCGGGTCTTACGCTCCCCCGAAAGAGAGATGGCACGACAAAACCAGACAAGACAACGCATCGCAGTGGAGCTCAATATCCCTAGGGGGAAAACAAACCTCCCCCGCTTTTGACCACCCTCGCTTCCAAGAGATACCCAACGATGCCAAATTGCAGCCTGTATTGGCCAGGCCGCTTGAAGAGGAGGCGCGTGGTATGGCTTGGTTTTGCCTGGAAGCGAAAGCGGGGGAGGTAATTCACGCTCTGAAAGAGAGATGGCACGACAAAACTGGACAAGACAACGCATCGCAGTGGAGCTCAACATCCCATCGGCATCCGATCTAAAAAAGCTATGCGCGCTGCTGTGGCAGCTGACCTCGCTTTCGAGCGCAGGCGGCCTGTCGGGCCCTACCGGCGCGGCCCCATATGGGGCGGTCCCCCGAGACGGCGCGGGGATGAGGAAGACGAAGAGGAGACGAATGCCAAATCCCACGGAGATGATTCCAACTTGCGCTTCTCTGGGCTTCAGGTTGCCTGGGCCCGTGGTAGGCTTGTAAGAGCCAACAGCTGGATACCTCCATAAGCAGCTTGTATTAAGTCGGGCGTGTCCCCCTACAGGCGAAGTCTGGACGAAGAACAAGAAGTTGACACTACATACTCAAGCAATACCCATATGTACATATATATATATATATATACACACATATGTGTGCAAAAAAACGTCCCCTGGCAATTTGTTCTCATTTTTTTGATACTCCTTCTGTGGCCTACAGGAAGAGTGTCCAAACATGCCCGGAACTCTCGGCAATGGCTGCCGGGAGCTCTCGGCACTGGGCGGCCCCAGTGGGCCCTGAGAGGGCCCTCGAAGGGCCTCGCCAGAAAGCGTCCGCGAAGTAGCTCAAGCCATGCGTGACTTGCACGCGATAGCATGCGCAACGTGCAACATGAATGCCTTGCATTATGCGTCAGCACGCTCTAAGGTGCGCCTGGAAACCACCGCGCGGCAGGGCGCGCCTACACACTGAAACCCCCCAAAAACCTCAATTTCGTCTGGAATGGATTTCGGCGCGCGCCCCTTTTGTCTCCAAACAAAGAGCCACTACGACTGTAGGGGAACATGCCCGACTTAAAGTTGGTAGTGGACACCTGCTGTCCAACATCTGACAGCGGAAAGACAAAAACGGGTTGCCTGTGCAACGAAAGGTGCGTCCGGGGGGGGACTGGATGCCTTGTCCGATCCATCCTGGGACAACGACTGCTGCCCTTCTCACGGCCTGAACTCCTGGTCGGAGCTCTGCCCGTGGGGAATGGAGACACGCTTAGGAAACAGCTGCGGTTGTCTGCGCACTTCCCCTTTCCACGCATTGTACGCTTCCCCCATTGGGGACGTCCTCCACCCACGACACCTGCGCAATCCCCCCCCCTGGGTGCCGAGGGGTCAAAGGGCGTCCCTCCTCCGAGAAAACGCAGGAATGCGAGGGGCAATGGGGTTTCGAATGGCGCCCTGTCCACTGTGATGAAAGAACCCCGCGAAGAGCTGGAGGAGCGGCACCCATCTCCTGAGTGAGCCAGAAGAAGATCCCGAGGCGCCCTCAGACACGTTCCAGGCCAGCCACAATGGGGAACGGCGACAACGAGAGTCAGATTTTCTTCAGATCCAGGCGAGTTTACTTGTATGGCGTTCGCTCCGCCCCCCCCTCGCCCCTCCTCAAGCGAACACGAGCGTGCAAGTGCCGTTCGGCTTGCGTGGTTTCCGCACGTAAAACTGTTTTCGGCTTGCTTCGAGTTCAGCCCCCACCCCCTTCATGCAAGTAAACTTGCCCGAATCTAGAAAACCGGGCTCTAGGGAACGCCGACAACGACGGATTCGACAATATACAATCCAGCTCCCGCACCACGCGGAGCACACGTACCTTCTCAAGGAGCGAAGGGTTTGGGAGCACCCTAGGTGCGAGTGCGCCGGCTTTTTTGGCTGGGAGGACAGGCGAAGGAGCGCCGCCCGAGGCCGAAGAGCGCGCTTCTATTTGTTCGGCGCTGACGGGCGTCATGGGGGCGGGGGGGCGAACGGGGGGAATATGACGTAACGCCCCCCCCGCCGTGTGGCTCCGGCACCGCAGCCGCGCCCGCGCGCGCGACGCGACGAGTGACGAGCGACGAGCGACGACGACGACGATGACGACGACGATGACGCGAGCAGCATGTAGGTGGCGATATGCCCCACTGCGCCTGTGTACACCACAGCGCTCGCGTGCACCACAGCGCGCGTGTATACCACAGCGCCTGCGTACAGCGCAACAACCGTGTGCAACGCAGCGCCTGCGTACACCACAGTGCTTGCGTACAATACAGCGCCTGTGTGCACCACAGTGCTTGCGTGCACCGCAGCGCCTGTGCACGCCACACCGCGCGTCTACACCGCAGCATCCGCGTGCAACGCAACGCTGGTGTACGCCACAACGCCTGCGTGGATAGGACAGGTAGAAGGAGCATGTACGTGAGGATTTGCTGCGGACAACTAGACGCCACGCCAGGAAAGTGCTGATAATCGAATGCGACGTTCTTCCCTCCTCCCTCCTCCTCCACCTCCACCACCTCCTCCTCCTCCTCCTCAAAAATTATTTGTTTGTTTTTTTTTGTGTGGACTCCACAAGCGCTCCATTTTGCCATGAGGCTTCTGTTGCACACGGTTGCTGTGGTGCACACAGGCGCCGTGGTGCACACAGGCACTACAATGCACGCAGGCATTGTGGTGTACACTGGTGCTGTGTTGCGCACGGCTGATGTGGTGTACGCAAGCGCTGTGGTGTGCACAAGAGCTGTTGTGCCCGCAGGCACGGTGGCAAAAACTGACGCTGTGTTGCACGCGGCTGCTGTGGTGTACATAGGCGGTGTGGTGCACACAGGCGCTGTGGTGCACGCAGGCACTGTGGTGTACACAGGCGTTGTGGTGCAAATCGCCACCAACATGCTGGCGCTATCCGTCCTCCGTCATTCCTAGCATTCACAAAAGCCGCCGGCGCGAAACGTGACGACATCGACCCACTCCACCCCCCCTAGATGATTGCCGGCATCGGCCCGGAAAAAAAAAAAACAGGTTTCAGCCGCGTCGGCGGGCACGACGACTATGAGCGACGAGCGACAAGCCACGAGCGACGACGACGACGACGACGACGACGACGACTGCGGACCAGACTCCTATGCGGATTTCTACGCGGACACCTGCGCGGATTTCAAAACGCACGGCGGCAGTGCCCGGAGCGCAGTGGGGGAGGGGAGCTTTGCGTCATAGGGGGGGGGGAGGGGGGCCGGGGGCCATGACGCCCGTCATGCCCCAAGCAATAAAGAAACGGGCTCTAAGTTCTCGGACACTGGACAACGCCTTGAGCTTCTCAAATGGCCGTGGAGTCCCATCTGGGATGAGGCCCTCCCGGAGGAGGCGGACTTGAGGGCAGAACTGATCAGATGGCTCCCATCACTGAGTATTGTTGAACCGATCCCCATCCCTAGCGGCGTGGCCTGGGCCCCACTGGCCGATTTACCCCCCTAGATGGGTATATAGGTCGTTCCCTTCGGGGTTCGAGGGGTGTATCCCTAACTGGGGGGGTAATTTGGTGGGGGTCTCGAAGGGGATGGGGATGGGGATGGGGTCGGATAAACGATGCTGAGTCACTGTCAGAACATGCTGGGCGAACCGTCTATCAGCCCGAGGTTGCCGTAACCATGAACCGAGATACCGGAAGCTCAATCGGGCCAGAGGGGTTGGACCGGAACGCGAGGTGCACGAGGCCCGCTTCGCGGCGGAAGCAATCGACCACTCGGTGAACAAATTCGGAGTCGGACTCCTTGCCGCCGTTCTGGCCGCCTGGACAGGCACGCCAGGTTCACGTCCTCAGTACCACATTTGGAAGACCTGCAACTCCTTTCAGGCAACTGCCGAGCCATCTCGACATTCAGCGCGCGGCATCGCACTTGGGCGGTGGGTCGAGTCAGGCGGGAGCTCAAGTCAGGCAGCGACTGAAATAGCTGACAACAGGCATGGTGGCACAGCCAGGCTTCCGGCTCCGAGAAGGGCGGCTGTGCCAGGCAAGCGGCAGCTGACATGAATGAAGACTTGGAACATAATATTATATGTTATGCAATGGAAGTTATCCCTGCGGTTGGGCATGCCTTCGGAATTTGATCGCATTCTAGAACAGCAGTAGACTCACCAGCGGCGTTTCCTGCAGTGCGCCAGGTTCACACACTCAGGGGCACAAGTGTTGGGCACATGATTGCCGCAGGGCAACTCATGGTTTCCACTAAGCCTGACAGAAGTCCTCACAGCAACGACGACACAGGTCGCCGGGGATCGCCCTCAAGTGCGATCCACGCTCTCCGCCGATGCTCGCCATGGAGCTGCCGCACTCTGCTGCTGCTGGACGCACCTGGATGGACTGGTCGAGAGTACTTAGCATGACCGAGCATGAAACCAAGCAACAAGGCACAGAAGCAGCTTTAGGGTCGGGCCCAGCTCATCGACGCCAGAGTCCCCGCAGACATGGTTTCCAGCCTGCCATCGAGCCGCTCGATTTCTGGCTCACTGGACACAAGGCTTACGGAGGACCAGGCAAGCAAGCTCAGGGCAGGCTCAAACTCGGGAAAGCCATGGTCTCCAAGATATGAGTATCGTTGAACCGATCCCCATCCCCAACGGCGTGGCCTGGGCCCCACTGGTCGATTTACCCCCCTAGATGGGGATATAGTTCGTTCCCTTCGGGGTTCGAGGGGTGTATCCCCAACTTAGGTGGTAATTTGGTGGGGGTCTCGAAGGGGAT